AATTGACATGGAAATGCCACATCAGCAGTCAAAGCGTCACCTCATTAAAAACACGACTTAAAATGACAAGGGGACTAATATTAATCTTAAAACCTAAAAAAGGGACCAAAATCGTGGTTTTTAAAATGAGGGAATCAAAACTCAAAAAAACACAAAATAGGGGGACCAAAGTTGCAATTAAGCCTACATAATATTAGATGGTATATCTTTAGAAGAATTAAAGAAAATAAAGATGACATTGGATGATAATTTTAAGAATTAAAGATATTGGCGTGCTTAAGTACACCCTTGGACTATAAATGGCTCACTATAAGGTAGAAATTACAATATCCCATTTACTACATGAATCAGGTTTACTAGGTTCTAAACTCGTCCATATACCATTAAATCCTTCAATTAAGCTACACCAAGATAATGAGAAGCCATTTGAAGATATAACTTCATATAAAATACTCATATGAAGACCGTCGTATTTGGCAAATACAAGACCAAATATTAGTTTTGCCACCTAACAACTGAGTTAGTTCTTGCACAATCCCACCATGACACATAGGCATGCATCATGCAGAGTATTCAAATACCTTAAGCACAATCCAGGCAGAGGCTTAATGTTTTCTAGGAATTTAGACTTGTGTAAATCCTATGTTATTCAAATGTTGATTGGACGCACACCAAAACTAACTATTTTCTATTTTTAGCATACTCTATTATAACATTTGGTTGCTTCTATTATAACAATTCGTCAAATAACTGCTTGTAATCATGTGGAGTAATGCACACCTCCTTTGCATGATCATTAAGCTCTTGTAAAAATAGATGATTACCATCAATCATGATGAATCTTACTTCAATTTTTCAATGAAATTCTATTACAATATTTTCTAATTTCTACAACTTTTAACATTAATGATAATTTTTGTGTTTATGAGAATGGTAGTTAAAAGATTTGAAAAAAGATAATTTATGGTGAGTATATATAATAAACAATCTCAATATCTTCTTCTTTCAACAATTCAATATTGTTCTGAATTGATCAACCCTAATTCTTATTTTTATTTATTTACATTAAAATAATATTATTTAAATTTAATTAATTAATTCTCAAAAAATTTTATTTTATTTTTAAAAATAAATGTTACACCATCAAATTTGTCCACTTGATAAAAAAATTATATTGATGAATCAAATTAAAAATACAAGAGTAATAGAAAAAAAAATTGTATAAGAATTAAAATCAAATTATCTTTTATTTACATAATACTTTTGCATTTTTTTTAGAGAATTGTTTATTGCACCCCTTGGACTTCTTAAGCACCATGTGCCCCGACTAAAATGCTCCTTGATTTCGGAGATGTATCTCCGGACACACCTTTTTTCAGTTTTTTTTAATTAGTTCCGTAGATGCATCTACATAATACTTTCATATGCGTATTTACTGAAGAAACTCAGAATCAGAATTCCAAAAAATCAACATTCATAAAATAAAATCGGCGTTACATTGATGATTTCGACAGAAATTTAGATACTACATTTCAATTGTTAGTTTCAAGTAAAATCAGTGATGTAGGTGGTATTGGGCATCATAGTTTCAAGTAAACTTGTACAAAATGTCTTGATTTTGCAAGCCATCTAATACACACGATGCAATATTTGGATTTTGAGGTGGTGCAGTGCGGAGTAGAGAAAAAGTTTTTGAAAACTCGTATCGCGTCAAGTCAATGCACACCTTATCATATGCACATGAAATAAGATGACCCATATCAGAAAAGGTCATCCATTTCGACACCGGTGCCGGATCACTCAAGCAAGGAACAAGAGATTCATAAACCGCATCAAATTTTTTTTCTTTTCATACAACCGCGTGTACGATTCTTTATGTGTCTTCAGCTCTTGGATTAGTTGATGATGGACAACCACATGACTATCCTCTTCTTTACCAAGCAAATCTGAAATGGCTCGATAACCGTAATTACCATCCCCTTCAACATTGACGATACAATCAATGTATTTGTGCATAAAAACTGGCATCTCGTCGATGAATGGAATTTTCGGTGGAATCGGGGTCGGAGGCGGTTTGCTTATGCGGGCTCCTTTCATGACACTCTTTTGAGATTTATGAGTAGGTGAGTTGGGATAAAGTTTGTCAACATGTTCACAATAAGAATGAGACCATGTAGTCGAGTTGTCATTCGGTGTATGCTTTATTTTCATCAGAGTATCTTTTATCTTTACCGGTTGAGAAGACGGTTTCATGTCGGTTGTTTCGGGATAGGCAATCTTCCTCAATTATTCTTTGATGTGGAGTTTCATGTTGTCATCGTCCTTTGAGAATCTCTTTTGTATCGCTTCCTGTTCGGTCAAAATAGAGATATTCGGTTTACCTCCTTCCATGCAACCATCATCATCAAAACTAAGTCTTTTTCCAATGAGGGCAAACTTCGTCCATTCTTATTCTCTCACCTAGTTTCAACTTTTTAGTAATAACACAAGCACACTGAAGACCATAGGTTTTCACAATAGTACAACCACACTTTGCGCTATCGAAACCTACAATTTCAGCTCGTTTGATCTCATGAAAAATATAGTTCAACCCCAGCCGAGACATATTGACGATCAATTAAGTATAAATAATTTTATCTTTAAATTGATGTTCCAATACCGTTATACTTCGACCAAATGTTGTTTGTATCTCATTATGTTGGTTTTTAATCATGAGATTATAGTCCTAATCTCGCCACAAATCCCCCTTGCTATTACCTAACCAATTTTTCAAACTAGCATGGGCCGTTCAACTTTGTTGGTGGTTGTATTTCCAAGGTGTCGGACATTATCAGTCCATGCACAAACTATATTCTTCTTCACCTGATCAAGAATGGTGCTTTCAACGTATTTCAATAAAGCATGATACTTTTCACACACTCTCCATAATTGAATGACATAATCGACATATAACTTTTGTGTGAAAGAATTTAGTATACTATTCCATGCATCCATTATTTTTTCAACAATCACACTGACCTTCACCAATTTTCCACCTTCAGACTCTATTTGTTTTTCCCCCACCATAGGTTTAATCCAACTTCTCACATTCTTTGTTATGTGATATTGACAAAGTAATGCATTAGAAGAAGATAATACCTTTGCAACCGCATTCATTAACGCAGTATCGCTGTCGATAACAATCGCTTTAGGAATCTCAACTTGGTCCTTCAAAGTGATCGACACACCTCTAATGCCCATGTAAAATTGTCCTCTTTTTCACACTCCAGAAAAGCAAAATCAACAGTATATGTCTTCTCGATAGACGTAACACCAACCATCTCATATAAAGGAAGTCTATACTTGTTGGTATTGTAGGTAGAATCAAGAATGATCACTATCGAGAATGTGCTGAACAACTTTATCGAATCCGAATGAGTCCAAAAAATATCTCGGACCGTAACTCTATCGTCGTAAGTTCTGTATCGGGACACGTAACTGTTATCATCCTACAATTTCAACAGTTGTTGCATCTCACTTCTATCTCCCCTAATTGCCTTGTTGGTGTGGTACCGGATGTTATACACTTGCCTTATATTTGATACATTTTTGGGTTCCTTCCGTTTCAATGTGGCAAGTATATTTTTCGGTTGGATAAGATTCAAGGTCATGTCACTAATACATGTATTCTCTTCTGGCTTGAGCCGACATACACTAGGATGATGTTATAAATTTAAGCACAATTCATGGTTATGCAAACCACAAATAACACTAAATTTCCACTTTTTGGTACTCAACATGTAACCACGAATCTTAAAAGGACATTCACATTTTCTACTACCGATGTCGTCTCTTTTAAACTTTCGTAGAGGAGTATGATATTTCCCGCTTCTTTCGCACAACAAAGTTACAAAAGCGTTTCTTCTTTCCGAACCATTATCCGATCTTTCTATAACCACACCAAAACCAAGTCTAGTTGCAGTTCTATGAATCATGTGAGTATGCTTTCACGATCATCAAACTCTTGCTTCTTATTAAAGTCAACGCCGACATCTACCAACTTTATGACAATCCCATGAACATTCGGAGAAACATCGGTTGTAAAAACTAATTCTTTTAAGATATTATCGAGGTGTACCATATCTATTTGTAAACAATAAGAAAAATAAACAAAAATTACAAAGCTACTGTAAAAAAACAGACAGACACGTTCCGGAAATGTACATTCGAAAATGTTCATCTTCAACATGTTCCGGAGGTACAGCTCCGTAAGCAACATTACTTTTTTTTCTTCCAAAAGATTGATGATTAATGTGAGCAATGTAGTGGACAAAGTGCAATCTTTGCCTGAAATTCAATCTTCTCTTTCTCCCTTTGATTTGTTGCACGAAAAAGTTGGAGTTTTGGAGTGAAAATGATATTGATAATGTAGAGCTTTTTAGGTTGGTGAAGGTGAGTGTTGAAGAAGAAAAGATAACAATGAGGGAGTGATCATGCATGTTTAAAATATAGCAGAAACTTCCAAAATTGTATCTACGAAACATTCTGACGCTTAGACGTTACGAAGGTGCATCTCCGAAAGTTTAACTCAAAACAATTATTTTAAAATTTTTCTCAATATATATCAATGGAAAATGATTCCATAGATATAGCTTCAAAAACAACTAAATTTTTTTTTAAAAATGCGTCCGAATAAAGAAAATGTACTAACACCTAAAAGTAATGGAAGATTAAGAAATTCTTTTTTTTTTTTTCAATTATTTGGACTAAAACCACACCGATTAACAAACTTCATCGCTGCTTTTCTTCTTGTCCACGATATCGTCGCGAAGTGGAAACCTCTCTCCTTCTCCATTCTACTCTCACATTCATCCGCTTCGCACTACTCGTAACAATCTCTCTCTCTCTCTCTCACTTCATTTTCAAAGCACCGAAATTAAGGGTTTTGTATTTTGCTTTTTTTGGGCGATTATTATCGTGTTGGTATCACTTTATTTTCAGGTTCAATTCGAATTTATAGTATGACAAAATCATTGGATCTTCCTCCCAAGGGCGGGTTCAGTTTCGATCTCTGCAGAAGAAATGATATGCTTCAAAAGAAGGGTCTTAAACCCCCTTCTTATTTGAAGACTGGAACCACTATCGTTGGTTTAGTTTTTCAGGTATTAATACTGATAACAATGGCTTTTCAATTACTGTTATATCTTGAGTTCATGAAAATATTCACCTTGAATTGATGGATCCAAAGCATTCAATTTGGTTGTGCTGTTGTGTTTATAAACTTATAAGGTTAAAGCTGATGTTCGATAATGGAACCGTCAACAGTTCTGCGTGTTATGCGTTTATGTTTAATATGTATAGTTTAATTGAGTGTTGACGGCTCCCGCAACTAAATTTGTCTCAGGATGGTATCATTCTTGGAGCAGACACCAGGGCAACTGAAGGACCTATTGTCGCTGATAAAAACTGTGAGAAAATTCATTATATGGCACCCAACATTTATTGTTGCGGAGCAGGCACTGCGGCTGATACAGAGGCCGTAACAGGTATTTTTCACAATGCATTATTTTGCAAATTTTCATTTTATTCTTTATGAAATGTTGCATTTAGCTACTCTTTAGGTTTTGATTTTGTTAATATTGTTAAACCATTAAAAATGATATGTTTGTTATTTATTGTAGACATGGTTAGCTCACAACTGCAACTACATCGCTACCATACTGGTCGGGAATCAAGGGTTGTTACAGCACTAACTCTTCTTAAGAGACACCTTTTCAAGTTGAGTATCAAATGTTCCATCTGCTTTAAGTGATTTTGCTCCTTGTTTCAACCACCGATTCTGACATTTTAAATCATGTGCAGTTACCAAGGTCATGTCTCAGCTGCATTAGTTCTTGGTGGGGTTGACATCACTGGACCGCATTTACATACCGTTAGTTCATTGTTTAAACTTTTTTTTGATACTTGAAGTTTTCTTGTTTGGAATGGATATAGTTGGATTTTTCATGACTATTTGAGTTCATGTTTTGCAGATCTATCCACATGGGTCAACTGACACCCTTCCGTTTGCTACAATGGGATCGGGTTCACTTGCTGCCATGTCTGTATTTGAGTCTAAATACAAGGAAAGTTTGAGTGTAAGTAATCATATTAAGGCAAAGAAATCATGCTTGCTTAAAATTAGTTCTTTATTTCAATAACTAGACTGCATCCAAGGTGTGCTGTACCTAAAAGTAATAAAAAGCTCCCATCCAATTCAAAATGTTCAATTTACTTCCAGTTAGGGGTGTTCCTATCCAATCAATATAAACCGCAACAACCAAACCTTGAAGGCGAAATCCTAACAAACTGGAAATTCAAATATTGAAAAAACACTTTTTTAATGGATTAGATCAATTTTTGGTTACTATAGTGCTAACCAGTCCAATCCAAACCCAGATATTATACTGTCGATAACCAAAACTGAAAACCAATTCAAAATGAATAAATGGGATCAGGTCATATTTAATTTTAAAATCAAACTAATTCTATGAGATCCAATAACAAAATCAAAGGGACATAAGGATGAAAACAAATCAATGACGAAAAGAAAAAAATTATGTGTGGCTTAAGTTAGTGGAGTGACTGTCACATGTGTAGTCTCTTGGACAGCTTTATAATATTCTGTCAAATGTTATTGTATTTACATGAAACTAATATCAATTCACTCTAGATATAAAGATGTACTCCCACCAAACTCGAATATAAACAAATAAAAGACCTTAGTTTGGTGGAGTTAATTATGAGCAAATTTTATGTAATTCTTGACCTATTTGATGTCATTATTCCAAAATTATTTTCACATAATTCAAGAAAAATGAAATATGAGGATTTTCTACCATAATTACCATTAAGGGTTGTTTAAGAAATGTATTTCATTTTTTTCATTTTTTTCATTTTTATATGAATTCAAGAAAACTAAATGAACTTAACTAGAATCCTCAATATGTGTATAGGTTGTTAGTTTTGCTTATAACTTGGTATGGAGGGAATATAATATACTAGTTTAATTGATGCTGATGGTGTTTGTAACTTCAATCATGTCTTCATTTTGTGACTGGATAGATATTTTAATTTTCTATAAACATTTAATCTGGTGCAGAGGGATGAAGGAATTAAGATAGTTGTTGAGGCGATATGTGCTGGTATATTTAATGACTTGGGAAGTGGAAGTAATGTTGATGTTTGTGTCATAACCAAGGTTAGTGCTTTGATGCCCAATCCTACACAAGTTGTTTGAGGGATACATATAAATCTAAACTAAGTGCTTATTCTTTGTTAATGCTGCACAGGGACATAAGGAATATCTAAGGAATCATCTCCAACCAAATCCCCGTACTTTTGTTAATCCAAGAGGCTTTACCTTTTCCAAAAAGACAGGTTCATTGCAAACTTGACTTATTTTATTACACTTGAGCTGGGTCTGCAATAAACTGTATTGTTTTGCTTATCATTGTTTGTCCATATTTTGCAATCATATTGGCATGATATATTACGCCACCCTTCAATAAATATTATGACGATTCAAGGAATTGGTGCTAGGAATTAGATAATTGTTGAAATTATTGAATGTCAATTTAACGCAATGTTATCAATCTTAGATAGTGGAACGCAGGGAACAACCCCTCAAAACACTATATTTTAAATCAATCTTGGATAGTGGAACAAAGTTTTACTTATTTTATTATTATTTTTTTCAAAATGTTGGTATCCGCACTGCGACCGACTAATCCAATAGGACCAATCCCAAACCTTGAGAGTATACTCTCAGGACCCAATCTTTCACTATATATATATATATATATATATATATATATATATATATATATATATATATATATATATATATATATATATATATATATATATATATATATATATATATATATATATATATATATAAAAGAAGTCATATAAAGACCCCTGAAGAAAATCACTAGAGAGATGATAAGGGAAAAAAAAGATCAAATGAAAATTTATAAAAAATAACACTTAATTGCGCAAAGGTTAGTGAAATTTATGATTTTTTTTGTGATACATTTTGTTAAGAGTCCCACATCGGACAATATATGGCTTTGATACCATGTTAAGAAGTGTGGTTGGGCCTAACTCAGCCCTACAAAACCGGTTTTGTAGGGCTGAGTTAGGCCCAACCACGTTTCTTAACATGGTATCAAGAGGCTCGTTTAAGATCCGGTGGGCCACCTTCTATGGTTTCTGCTATCGGGCCACCCACCATTTATTTCCACGCTTCAGTTGTCCAATCCTGAGCGTGAGGGGGTGTGTTAAGAGTCCCACATCGGACAATATATGGCATGAACATGTGTTTATAAGTGGGGGCAATCCTCACTCTACCAACCGGTTTTGTAGGGCTGAGTTAGGCCCAACCACACTTCTTAACATTTTTTTCTAATTATATATGACAATGAATAAAAAGAAGCAACTTGACTATTTTAGGAGTTCTATTATAATTTTATTATCAATAAACAAACTTGAAACTCATGATTGCAATAACAACTAATGACAGCAAGAGAAACTTGAAACTGATGATTGCCAACCTAATCTTCATTAACAAGAAACTTGAAACTCATGATTGCCAATAAACAAACTTGAAACTCATGATTGCAATAACAACTAATGACAGCAAGAGAAACTTGAAACTGATGATTGCCAACCTAATCTTCATTAACAAGAAACTTGAAACTCATGATTGCCAACCGAATCTTACTCGTTCTCTTGCCAACCAAACCAGAAACAAATGCCAACCGAATCTTCCTCGTTCTCTTGCCAACCAAACAAAGAAACAAATAATCATACAATCCTTTTAAACAAAAACAAACTTGTTGCCGGCGCCAGTTTATCCAAATTTCTTCACGTATATTTTTGTTTGGTAATAATAACCCTCTTCTCTTTCCTTCTCTAATATATCTTCTTCCGGGAATTCTTTCCTCTTCTCTCTTCATCTCATTCCTCCACCGGAATTCTAACAGTATTAGAGGGCTGTCATCAAAATTTTTATATAATTGTAATGTTAGCCACCGGACTTCATACATTATCATAATGCCGCCACATAATTCGTTGGCCAGTCACAAGCACCAAGCTTTTAATAGATTTGAGAAGTGTCTTGTAGCTTGGTGCTTGTGACTGGCCAGCGAATTCTGTGGCGGCATTACGATAATGTATGAACTCCGGCGGCAACATGACAATTATGTATAAATTTTGACGGCGGCAATGTCATACTGTTAGAATTGAATTCTGGTGGAGGGATGAGATGAAGAGAGAAAGGGAAGGAATTTCTGGAAGAATATATTAGAGAAGGAAAGAGAGGAGGGTTATTATTACCAAACAGAAACTTTGATAAACCGGCACCAACAGCACGTTTGTTTCTGTTTAGAAGGATGATTTGTTTCTTGTTTGGTTGGCAAGAGAAAGAGGAGGATTCGGTTGACAATCATGAATTTCTTGTTGTTATTGGAAATGAAGATTCGGTTGGCAATCGTGAGTTTCACGTTTTTTGCTGTCATGTCATTAGTTGTTATTGGAAATGAAGATTTGGTTTGCAATTCTAAGTTTCACGTTTGTTTCTTGTTAATGAAATTATAATAGAACTCCTAAAATAGTCAAGAAGCAGACTTTTTATTCGTTGTCGTATATAAATAGAAAAGAATGTTACTTGTTATTGGTTGTCACATATAAATAAAGGAGATCTTGGTTGTCAATTACCTATTTGAATTATATATAAATAAATGAACAACGCTAAGTGTATCACAAAAAAATCATACAAATCCCACTAACCTTTGCGGCAATTAAGTGTTTTTTTTTATAAATTTTATTTGACCCTTTTTTTTCTCTTTCTTATCATCTCTCTTGATCTTCTGTGGTCTTTATATACTCTCTTGCTATGCTAAAAGAAGTCATGCCCTTTGCTATTTATCATCTTTTAATAACTATCATTTTCATCTCCCACATTCTCATTCTCATTATCTAAAAATGCTTAGCTTCTAAGTCTAGTATCAAGACACAACTTTGCCAATTAAAAAAGTCCACTGCCATTATCAAGGAGATTGTGCTCATCTGATTTAGTATATCCTTTGTCCTAGATAAGGTTGCACTAACCAAATTTCTTTAAGAGATGTTTTGCTTCTCCAAATGAAATGAATAAAGGAGGAAATACTCAAATTCAGCTTATGAAGGATGATGTTTTAAAACAATCTTTTGGAGTATGAATGTCTTATCCTAAATTTATACCCAGGATTCTCCTTGGGTTAAGAGTTTTACAAAAAATAATGGAGGATACTCCATGGATACATATCTATGTTGTATGTGTGTGAATATTGAGTTGGAGTACCACACTAAAACTTAAGCAATTTTGGAGTATCCGGCTTCGTAGAAGAGAAAACATGGATGACAACTAATACATATCTATGCAGTTTTTTCATTCGGTTTCATCCACGATAAAAGGGTAGCATAATACTTGTGGCTAAATGGCATGTTTAGGCTCGATTTTGTGATGTCACTTAAACAATTACTTAACTATTTAAATCAACATAATAACAACGATTGCAAGTATGTCTTGTTCAATCCTATATTTTTTGGGGATTACATTTGAAGCTCACAGGCTATTTGCCCTTGACCCTATGTTTGTGAGTCTTGTATAGTTTAGCCTAAATGATATATGCATGACATTATTCAAACAAAGTAGATTTTACTGAGGCTTTGAGAAGGTAATCAGGCATTATTGATACAGTTTGCCCCTTCTGCATCTTAACTTATTCCGGCCTCTATACAGTTTTCCCCTTCTGCATCTTAACTTATTCCGCCTCCCTGTTTTTGCCGAATAAATAGAATGAAGTGTATTCCTTTTAATTTTTTTTTTATATACATGATATCTAATATTTATATTTATATCTGTTACAGAGGTTCTCTCAACAAAAGTTACACCATTGAAGGAGAAGGTTGAAGTAATTGAAGGAGATGCTATGGAAGAGTAGCAAAATTGATTGAGTCTGAAACTTGATTAGTGCAATGTTTGTGATATTGATAATTGTAATTTCAGAAGTTTGGTTGAATCTGGATCTTGGTTTTCTTTTGCCAAGTTCTAGCTAGCACTGGTGGTTGGTGCACTGTGTGAGTGTTATAAACTGCAGGGTACCAACTTCGATTCTCACTGATATAAAAAAATTTGGTTTTTATTTACCTATAATGATTTTTATTTCATTAGATTGTTGGAAGTTTTTTTATGATAAAATATTGTTATAAGTTATTTACCAGAGATTTCATCATTTGGAAGTATATTTGGTTTCAGTTTTGGCTAAATATGCTTAACATGGCATAAAACAGAAGAATGAAATTAACAAATAATCTGTAGTAATATGATTGAATTGTGTGGATTAAAGAAAGTAGGATTCAAGAAAAGCCGCTTCCAATCTATCAAAGCAAAGTTGATCTTACAATCTGTTTAGATTATGGATTTTGAAAAATATGGTTTAAGAAAACATAATAATTTTACTAAAGTTTTATTGAAATAAATTGCTTAAGAAAATGTAAAAATGTTTTTAATTGATTGTTGGTTATAGAAAAGATGAGAGTAAATTAAATGTATTTTGTATATAATTTCATTTGAAAAAAAAGATGAAAATTGATTTTTTTCTTATATTTTAAAATAAGGAAAATGCATTTTTTTACTTATATTTTGGGATGAATGCAGTGCTTCCACCGCAAAAAGTTTGAATGATTAATAAATTGAATTACTTAATTTAAATAATCTAATCTAGTAAACTAAATTGAATTAAAAATGGTTCGCATGCAGTTTTCGCGCGAACAATCTCTGACTTTTTAACGCAGGTTTACTTGTAGGATCGGCCAAACGAGTCCCAAAACACTTGGTTTGGAATGTATAGGAAAGTGGTGGAATGGTGTTTATTTAGAATAGACTCTGAATTATTTGTTAGTAAAGATTAAAACTAGATGAATAAGTATACAAAGGAGTGAGAAATAACTTATGTAAATGAGTAAGAAAGAAATGACAAGACAAAACACTTTTAGAGTTAATGACATAAATTGCTTATAAAAAGAGAAATATGGACACAATCATACATTTTGTAGGAGTGGAAACTCTTTTCTTGCAATGCTTTGGTACTCAGAGTGTTTTTCTTACAATATTACAAAAACGTGCCTCCTCGAATTGAAAACATGCATTGCTCTAAATAGGGAAATAAATAATTGCCATGTTGAATCTGGTGATGCCACGTGTTCGCCCACCACTTTTGAAACTTTCCACGTTCTTGGATTTCAAATCCATTTCCCGCTCAAATAGTTGTCTCCTTGCATGGGTTTTAGCTGACCCATTCGACCGACACCATCTGGATCGACCCAACAAACTTCCTCTTGTCGACGTGACCCTCTTCATTAACATTTTACCTAGCCTGTCGAGTGTCGACCAGTCTCTGTGTCGCTGCTCTCTAGTCGAAACTTCCAGTCAACAAGATGCCCCCTCAAAATCCAGTTTCGACGGGATACTCTGTCGACCAAGAAACTGAGCGTTTTGGTTCTATGGAATTTCGACCGTGTTTGGGTACGACGCAACAAAAACCATCATTGCTTTCTGTCGATTCCGCCACGCGTCATCTATAGTCTAAAGTAATGATGGCGGTTTTCTGCGCCACGACTAATCATGTTAGTCACATCCCAACGTCATGGGTCTTTGAACCACCCCCACTAACTTTCAAAATCACAACCGTTTCGCCTCTTCCACTGCATGCAACATTTTCTATAAATAACCCATTTTCCCCTTTGTTTCACTTTCTCCACTCTTCTCTCATTTCTATTTTCTGAAAAAAAAACCTCTTTGTCTTAAATCTTCCAAAGTTCTCCACTTCCTGTTTCAATGACTTCTTCCAACATTTCCAACACCCACACCACTGGGAATAACCCCATAGCCTTTGTTCTTTCTGAGGTTGATCCTCTCAGGCCTCCCCCAAATCCTACGTCGACTGATGAAAAGGTGATGGCTACATGGAGGCGTCAGATGGTCATCCCCTTCGCTGTCGCCGGAAAGCTGCATGCTTTCCATGGGCCATATCCTTCCAACAAGCCTAGCCACGAGGAGCTACATGCGTTTTTTCTCTATTTTCTGTCCACCATCCCTCCAACTTTCTAGAAAGGAGGCACCCTCGACTTAAAGTTCATGGCACCCAAAGCTCGTGTCTTCCGGTGGATGCCCACCCCGGGAAATAAGGATTACATCTCCTGGCTGAACAAAGTCCAAAACAAGAGCCAAGAACAATGGAAGAAGGATGGCATCTTCGACGCCATCCAGCTGTCTCGAAACGCCCACAGGGTCAACCATTGTCTCATGCTGGATGCAACATTTTTTGGGAAGATTCGACCAACACCTTCCAATTCCATTGTGGTATGCTGACGCCGACTCTCTCCGACGTGGTGACCATTACCGGTCTCTCCCCTCTGGGTGAGACATTCAACCCAACTCTGGAGACGAATGCCACTTTTGACTTCGACAAGGCTGGATTCCAGAACTACGTAGTAGATCACCATGACAAAGGTTCGGTTGAAGTATCAAATAAAGAGCATATTTCCTTCCTGACTCTTTGGCTGTCTTACTATCTCTTCTGTCCTGGATCGCTACAGATATCCAAGAGTTACATTAGTTTGGAAATCCAGATACACGAGGGTCAACAAGTCTCCTTGGGTAAATTGTTGTTGTATTTCCTTTACCACTCTCTTGGCCTGTCGGCCTTGAGAATAAAACTTCTTCATGAAATCTTCAAATACTTGAACGTCTCAGGGCCCATGTGGTTATTACAGCACTGGCTCAATGCCATTTTTGAATATCAGATGGGTTATCATGTGTTTACTACCATGTAGTGTCTCAACGAGGATCGTCCAGTCGAAGGCGTTCGACTTGCGTTGATGACTACACATGAAACCCCCCAACAAAACCCTTTTTATGAAGTATCTCACTATGTTTGCTGAAGCAAACACCTTCGTCCCCGGTATGACCCCTTTCGTGCACCGACGGTTTGACCCGTCGTGGTTTAGAAACCCTTTCCCTGGTGTTTCGCCACAGACATCAACCATGTCAAATTCAGTATGACGGACGTTCCTAACTCCTACCATGTTGTCATTTTGAATCGAGACGCGGAACAATGGCTTTGGATTTATGAATTATCAGCCCAATCTGGTGGCCCGACAATTTGGTTTAAGCCAAATGCTACCGAAGTCTTTGGTGCAACACACCTCTGATATTGTGTGGGCTGGTTGACGTTTAAACTTGGCAGGTCACAAGAGCTGCCTTAAATTTCCTAGGTTGACTCAACACCTTGAGTTGCCAGTTTTCTCCTTTCAACCGTCTTTCTACACAACTGAAGCTTTCAATGTTTGATGGTTTGAATATCAAGACCGATGTTTCGACTGTGATCTCTTTCTAGAGAATATGGTCGACGCTTTTTCCGCTCTAGTGGATGAACCCCCTGGAAAAACAATCTCTATACCTATTGAAAACCCCTCAAAAGGTGGTGTCTCCGAGGACCCTAAAAAGGTACCTTCTTTACCTTCCTTCTCAGTCTTTTAATTGTCACCATCTTATTCTGTCTGCTTTTTTCCCAGGGTCGAAAGAGGGAGCCACCTGTAGCGTCGACCTCTACTAGGTTGACGAAGAAACCAAAAGTTCTCAATCCTCAGGTATCACTCGTTCTTGGGTGGCTTGTTTGATTTTGTGTCTCCCTGTCTACTCACTGTTTTTCGTTTAGGTCACTGAAAAACCACCGGCTATTGAAGGCGGTGCTTCTGACGAAAGTGTCCAATCCCGGGTCTTTCTTTCTGATCCGTCGAACTCTCCGCCTGCCAGTCCCTTGGTTAAAAAGAAAAAAGCTCCTATAAAGAGGACTCCTTCGAGAACGGTCACCACAACAGTGAGGCCCATTGTTCCTGGAAACTTGATTGAAGTTTTCCCCACTGTAGCCACCAAACTCCCTCCAGCACAAGATACTGCTGAGGTATTTTATTGTCCCTATATATATGTATATATATTTTCCTTTTCTACATAGGTGTTTTACTCATGTTGTACTATGCAGGACAATACATTCGAAACAACTGTTAATGTAAATGTTGATCAAACCATAACGAATGCTGACAATCCTACTGACTCAACGCCTCTGTTTAGCCCTCAAAAGGTCGACGAATTCTAGGGGACGTCGACAGAGGAGAACCCAGTAGCACAAACAAACTCTGTTGAACACACAACTGAGGCTAATGGAGATAATGCGGCCATTGGTAACAAAGACAATCATGTGATTATCCCAGTCGTTGTCAAAGGTGCTCCGGCTCCTCGAGGTTCAGCTGAAGGTGGCCCTTATGTTGACAAGATATCCACCCAGCAGAAATTTTGGCTATGAAGAAATCCAACCCAATAGAAGCCTTGAAGGCTTTTCTCAAACTTTGCCAGTCGACCATGGACGCCACCCCTGCTGGTTCGAAGGCCACTCTTAACCCAGAGATAAATGATTCGTTCAAACTAAAACTTCAACAATTGAAGATGTATTTGTTTGAGGACGAATTCCTAGACGCGGCGGTAGAAGAGTCAGCGGTGACCTGCGATGTTTTTAAAATCCTGGATGAACTTTCTCTCTTTAGCGTGCCTCCCCCTATGGCCAAATACTTTATTGAGTTTAAGGCTTTCTTTACTCAGCCGGCGAAGGACCTATCAATGTGTAAGCAGGCCGACGCCCAAATCAGGGGGAAGATTAACAAAATGAAATGCGTGTGGTATCTCAGCTCTGTTTGTGAGAAAAAACTTGAAGATTTTGAAGCCACGAAGAAGGAGCCTTCTGACAAACGTCAAGCCCTCGACCAAAAAATATCTAACTATCGAACCCAAATGGCGGAACTGGAGAGGAAGATTGCTGAGGTTAAGAAGCGGAAGGCTTCTTTGGGTTCCGATAAATCTCTATTAGCTCAGGAGGTGATCTACCAG